GTTAAATCGAGCTGATTAGCACATGCTTACTTCACATATTTATTTATCCTGTGAGTGAGAATACATAAAACCTACTCTCTAGCAATTTTCAAGAATATAGTTATAAGTAATAAGTCACCATTTTGTACAATAATTCTCTTGAGCTTATTCCTCCCTTCTGGCTTTAATGTTGTAGCCTTTGACAAACAGCTTTCCCATACCACACCATCCTTCTCTAGCAGGTCATTTTAAGACCCTAAGCTGATAAGGCACTTCCATGTAGTGAAATGCAGATTCACACTTCTATATATAAACTTTTTTTCTCTTTGAGAGGTTTTTGCTATAGGGTGCGTGCGTTCACCAGACAGACAGAGAGAGACAGAGAGACAGAAAGTGAGAAATCACCCCCCCCCAGGGGGCATGGCCACGCCGCAATCCCTTCTCCTCCGTTCTCCTCTCGGGATCTTGGGCACACACACACACATGCGCCCGGCGTGAGTTTTAAGCCACTGGGTCTGGGACGCGAACTGCAGTCAACTACGTGGGAGTCCAGCGACATAGCCATTACACTAACTGCTGGTCCCTATAAACTTTTTTATTTATCAACTTCAAGGATATAAATTTTCCATTAACTTTTAGGAATAGATTTTAAAAATAAAAGACATATTCAGGATCACTTCCTCTGGTTTTGTACTACCTGCACCTCTCCACTCTCTTTACCATCATCTCAACTATACCATTACTAGGTCAGACGAAACAAGATTCAAAATAGGAAAGTTCTGCTACTTGTTAGCAGTTCTAGCAAAAACAAAAAAGGAATAAGCAATTACAACAAAACTGAGCAGGAGGAGTTGGAAAAATACATGGAAATTTGTTTTATTTAAAACATCTTTGCTCTTCGCAATATGGATCAAACATATTTAGGTACATGTAATCATGTACAGCGCCAGACACTGCAGGCTGCCTTCTGGACAGTCATTCTCTCCTTTATAACTAAGGAAAGCCTGATTGTTTCTCAGGTCTTAAATGATCAGGCGATCCCAGGCATGAAAAACCAAACTTGGTTAGTCTATTCTAATTATGATAATTCTATTTATCTTAACCAGAAGTTGACTTAATAACAAATTTGTGATGATCAGTTGTGGAAGAAATCTGCTGATGGCCCTAATAAAGGAGTATCCTTCTCACTTAAAAAAGGGCCATGAGAAAGGGCCCTTCCCTTTCCGCCTCTGTCTACCTAAACTTGCAGCAGCCGTCTTAAAACCAAATGAAGCCAATTTAAGAACCAACTGACTATAGTGGAACAGATGGATGAAATGACCTCTTTAAGTCAATACATTATCTAAATCAGAAATGACTCTATTTCCAGATCGATGGGCCTTTCTCTCCCTCCCTCCTCTCTCTCTGAAGTTCACTATATAGCTCACTAGAGAGAGAAAGGAAGTGAGAAAGAAGAAGTGAGAAATCACCCCCTGGAGGGATGGTCTCCACCATTGTCCTCTTGGGATTTTGGGTGTGTATGCACACACACACACACACACACACATTTGCCTGGTGTGTCTTTCAAGTCACCAAGTCCAGGACTTCAACGATGCAGTCAGCCATGTAGGATCCAGCCACGTTAACCTCCTTACCACCTGCTGGCCCTCCAGACTACTACTGTTTTTGTTTGTTTTTGCTGTAGGGCACATGTGCTGCTGGAGAGACAGACAGAGACAAAGAGAAAAAGTGAAAAGTCACCCTCCAGGGGAGGCCATGCCGCAATTCCATCTCCATTCTCCTCCTGGGATTTTGGAAATGCATGCATACATGCCTGGTCTGAGTCTCAAGCCTAAGGGTTTGAGGCTCGAACTGTGGTTGGTCATGTGTGAGTCCAACATCTTATCCACTATGCCACCCACAGACCCCCAGAATACTTCTTAAATGAGAAAATAAATTATTTCTTTTTAGTACTTAAGCCATTTTGAGTTTGCTGCTCCTGTTGCAATGTAGAACAGTCAAACTGACTCTGGGCTACATGCAGCACTAAATGAGTGCTTGTTGTTGAAACAGCTTGTGACATCTCCACGAACTCTCTCAGTGCAAACCATTTAAGCATTTCAGAGGAAGGCATTAAGTTTCTGAAGAGTTTTCACTAATGTAAGGGGACAAAGTCACATGCTATTTGGAGGTCTGACAAGGACGGTGTTTTCTGTTTTTTCATGGGGACATGCAGCCCTTTATTTATGTTTTTGGTGTTTGTGCTTCTATCACTTTTATCTTTCCCCAGCCTTAGAAAGGGTTTAACAATACTCTTTAGATAAGCTCTAGCAAAGTTAACCTTCTTGATTCCCTAGGAAAACAATATGACTTACACATAATTTATTTTCTTTCAAAGAAAACAGGATTTGAAATTGCCTTTCCTTGATATGGTCTTAAATCCTTGATAAGGCCTGACAAGGAGTACACTGGAATTCCCAAATATTTTTCCAATTAATAGAAGTGCGATTCCAGAGTTGAGCTTTAAATGTTGGTGGAGTACAAATTAAGTAATATGTGAAAATATAGATTGAAAACACTTCAAGGAGCAGCTTAGAAAAACCAGCATCAAGGTGTATCAATCTATGAGTTCAAGGATTGCTGAAATTAATGATGATTATTTTTCCCCCTCCTGATTGATGAGGGTTACCCTGGGACCTATGTTTCTGTCTAAAGCAAATGCAGAACTTATTAATAATGTAAGCAGCTGCAGGGCCCCTTCGCTATGGCAGTAAAGCTCCTGTCTAAAACCAGAACTGTTTCCTTTATACTTTAATGGATTAGGTCTGTTTAACTTACTTTATATGGTGCTCCATCCAGCCCCATTGGCATATGGATGCTTAATGCATATTTGATGATGGTGACTATGACTGCATGGAATTTATCTTAGTGTCCACAGGAAAGTACTCTCTGCTATTTTTCTTTAATGATAAAGTTGTAAAATAACAGGAGAATCATGTCTTTTCATACCAGGGAATTGTCTTAAGAAAACTCTCAATAAAATGGAAGACACAGAAATTAGCATTTACTACTACGTGCTAAAAATTTATGTAACATTTATGTGTGCTATTTTACTTAATCTTAAATATAATCCTGTGGACTAGGTATTGAAATCCCATATCCTAAACCTAAAATACCACTGACTATATGGTAAGCCAATACTTTACATAGCAACAAGAAAAAGATTCAGCCAATGAAATTATTATAAACCACTAGTAAGATATAAGTTTATTTCAGAGATGTCAAAATGTTAAAAAAAAAAAAGACTTAGAAAAAAAATATGGTATGATATTGATAGGAAAATTAACTAAGTCACATAACCAGTTAGTAGCTGTGGCAAAGACAAATAGCTGTCCACCAAAGAACGCCGTGCTAACTCCATAGTGTATGGGGCCTGCTGAGAAACAGCGCCAGCCAGAAACCATACTTCCCACCTTGAGTTCTAACCAATGAAAAGTGACACAATCGACATAGCTCTTCCAGAACAAAGCAGTCAACAACGAGCATGAGTGTTTTCTTCATCCTCTCTTATCTGCTGTTTATGTTGATGCCCAGAATGGCCTTGGAAACTTGCCTCCTGAGTATGTCAGAACCTGTGTGTCAGCCTGGGTTCCTGAGTGTAAGTCCCAACCCTGTGCTTAACAGGAATG